ATGTGTTTGATAAAGGGTTATCAAACAATAAGGCTTCTATCAAAATGGCTGATACCTCTTTTTGGTCCATAATGGTGAGTATCGGATAGCGGTTATAGAATCTACAAATTTAGAGTTTGAATTTTTTTTTTTTTTTTTTTGGTTGGGAAGGAATTTGGGGGGGGTGGGGCGTGGTGGGGGTTGGTTAATGAGAACCTTAGCTTATATTCTTGTAAAGTATGGAGGATGGTAGGAGTCATAGAATGATGGTTCACATAAATATTTGCAATCCAAGACAAAATTGCATAGAATACCTAAACATGTGAACTATGAAGAGATTTTGAAGTTGTTTATGAATAATTACAAATTGATAGAAGATAATATAATTTAAAGCTTATTGTGAATACGTGACTCACGAATATGATAATCCCCTAAAAATCGAGTGGCCAAGATTTTGTCAACCGTTAAGGCCATAGTGTAGTGCCGTTAAAAGCTGATCCATGGTCACCATTCCATCCTAATCCCATCTTAGTTCACCCACACAAACTCAAATAGCCAGCAAAAATTCAAACTAAGCAAATAAAACAACAGGTGTTGGCTAGATCTAGGAAAATGGAAAGAGAATGAGAGATAAAAAGAAGAAGAGAAGAAAAGATAAATTTATGGATTTGTTAAGTGGATAGTAACAAGTATCCACAGGTCCACTTGTAGCCACATAAGGTAGAGTTCGAATCCAATATTTTGGACTTGTTTAGAACCAACCCGTTTTGGGTCCCTACTTGTTGGACTTGTCCTGGTAGGACTCAGTCCATACCTAGCCCACCCATCCGTTTTGCCAGGTCTAATCGAAGTCATGCCTAATTATTACAAATTTCAATCAATTATAAACTTAACCACCTCAAGATATAATAAAACAGGTCATGATTTTCGGCTCTCATGGGTATTCTAATGGAACTATTAATTTAGGTGTGTGATTCGATAATTTTTTGGTAAAGAATTTGAGTATTAAAAATAAGAAATTATATTCTGTAGTTTGAAACTTTAAGAATATGTTCAGTTTCATTTTGTGAAGATGAAAATAAAAGTTCTTTTTTTTTAAATAAAAAAACATATATCTTTATAATATATAAATACTGAAATTTTTTTATTTATATTCTTAATATGTTCAAGGTATATTCATTACAATATATATAGATATTCGATAAAAAAATTAGTTATTTTTATTATATATATTATATATAATATATATAAAATCTGAAAGTCACTAATATCCTTTGTAAATTGAGAACTATTTATCGTATTTGTAAGCAGTTGGGGATGTATTTGTCATTTTTATAAGGTATATTTGTCATTTTTAAAAATGGTACAGGGTTATAATAATTTACTAGGTACCGGAACCAGAACTGAAACGGATCGGAAACCTTTGTTTTAGGTTCTGTTCTAGGAATTTATAAATCATTGATTCCGTTCCCTAATTTTGCCGGTACCTGACCGTTCACCCCTAATAGTAAGCCAAGAATGAAGCTATTACGCTTTGTAAGTTGCTCGACCCAAGCATCAATTGTTTTAGCCTGATGTTTGAGAGGAGCTTTCTTGATCTCATGATTTTGACTCAATTATCTTATTTGGACCTCATACAAATCTTATTGGATATTTTGGACAAAAATCATCATAAAAATCAGTAATAAAAAAAAAAAAAATCAAAATATATATTGTTAAGGGGTAAAACTATAATTAAAGCAGTCATAATAGGAATTGACTACTTTAATTATAAAGATATAAAAGTGTTTTTGTTTTGTTTAATATGTTTTTTTCAATCTTTTCTCTGTTGAAAGTGGAAAGCAAAGTAAACAACATAAAAGTTCCTTAAATAATTTTAACTTGTGAAAGAAAAATAATAGATGAAAGCAAAGCATACAGTATTTAAGGAGAAACGTATATATATTGTTAACGAAGACTCTGCCGTCCATTCAGAATTCGGAAAAAAAGAAAAGGGGGAAAAAAATTACGTAAAGCAAACAATAACGCTTGTAGATCAGGGTTTAGCTTTGCCTCGAGAAAATTAATCAAATTAGTAATCAGAATCTGGTCGTACCAAAGAAGTACTCTTTATAAATAATATCTATTAAGATTAACAGTTAATAAGAGCAGTATAATAATTTGACATTTTTGTTATCTTAATCTCTCTAAATATTTTACATCAACGATATGTAAATTTTTCATATAAATAAAAAAAAGAAAAAGCACATACGTTGATATATATAACAAAAAGTGGAAATTAATCTCTCTCTATATATATAGCTAAACCCAAGACTTGTATAGAAATATAAATGCATATACAAGCTGTAGAGTTTTCATAAAGCTAAAGATCTGATATCTACTATAACTATAGAGATTAACACTAACAAAATTAAGAAGGCATTAAGTGTAGGAAACTTCGGAAAGTTGATTCATCACAAGGCAAAACAATGCTCTTCCGGCTATCAAAACCATACTCTTCAGCAGCTTTATCAAGCAGTTGCGAGAAAGTTGGATTCTTCAAGTAAGATAATGGAACAATGAATCTCCTTAATTCTTCACCCACATAAACTACGAAGTGTCCCTTTGGAGCTCTTCTCCCATCGTTTTGCTGGAATTGCTTTGGCATTTTGGCAAAGTATATAGATACAAGAAGTTAAAACTTAAGAGAGCAATTGAAAGTAAGTGTGTTTATGTGTCCAGAAGAAGTGTATATATATATAGAAGATGATGTTGTTTGTCCTTTTGTCCAATGTTGACAACGTGGAGGTACATTTTATTTAACGTGTGATGGGAAAGAGCTGAATAATTGTACAAGTTGTTATGTGGCTAATATGCATGTTTTTGGTAGCAAACAAACTCGGCTGCACATGGGATTACTACTTGCCTTGTCAACTCCTTCATATGAATCACCTAGCAACAACTCAGCTCGCAGTAAATGGTAAAGTACATGTAATGTTTATGTCAAATTTCGTAACATTGTATAAACTTTTTGAGTGATGTTATTTATAAAAAAAATTGATATAAAAGAATTAACGTTGTATTAGCTTTTGAATTATCATATGTTTTATTGTTGTATCATTCATTCTAGGAGTGTGCAAAACCGGATATTCAATCCGGTTGGGGACTTTGCTAATCCAGTCCAAATTATGGGTTGATCTGGTTTTGATTTTCGGATCGGATCAATTGAAAATCCGAATTTATCCTAATTTAACAAAAAGATCAATTAAAATTAAATAATTCCTCCATTCTAAAAGCATTTGAGGCATATCTTCCTACATTATTATGTCCATATTCTAAAAGCATTTGACTTAACCTAAAGTATAGCTGAGTTACGATAGTATATTGTAGAATTTAACTTGAAGCGATATAACAGCAATTACCAAAAATCCGCATAACAACAATGACATACAAGATTACACAGCAAAAAACCCAACACCGATATCCCTCATAACAGCAATCACCATTCACCACCACTAAATCATCACAGTAAGTTAAAAAACAGTGAAACAATTAAAGAAGAAAGAAGAAACCGAGGGAGAAAGCAAAGTAAATATATCGGATCGTGAAGACTGAGAAGTGAAGAGAAAAGAGTTTAGAGTTGATTTGCGATTGAGGAAAGAAAAAGCGTCGATGATGGCGATTTTGTTTGGATCGTGAAGACTGAAGAGTGAAGAGAAAAGAGTTCAAAGTAGATCTATGAGTGAGTGAGAGGAAAAAGTTCTTTTTTTTTTTTTTTTTCGGGGTTGTTACTTGTTAGGACTTGGGGATTTAGTTAGTTTAGGAAAAAATTGGGATTATTAAAGGGGGTGTGCAAAACCGGATCGGATTTAGATATCTTATTTTTTTTTTTTAAAACCCGATCTGGAAAACCGAATCGGCTTTATATTGCAATCCAAATTCAATCCGGATTCTAGATATTTGGTTTTTTTTTTTTTTTTTTTTTTTATCGTATCAGACCAATATCGGATATAGATCGATATCGGATTTTTTTTTGGCACCATCCCTAATTCATTCACATTTATTAATTTCATATAAATAACATACTAAATTTTCATGTATAATATTATTTAAATTATTTATGTAGTATTTGGGGTGAAGGAATGAAGTGAATTGATCATCCTTCCAGTAAAACCCAATACTCCCTTAATTATCTCTTGTGGAACAAGATCTTTGTGAAACTAACTGTTACATTAGGGAGTTCTTTTCCTAATAGGATAATTAACTCCAAATAGGATGTGAATTCTTGTTTCTTAGAATTCTTTTCTACTTAGGATTAGGTTGAATTATTAGAATACTATAAATAAATGATGTATTGGGTCTTTTGTAAGTATTTCGTTAAGAGATTGTGAGTAGTTCCTAGGTAGAGAAGTGAGATATCCCTGATATTGTATTTGTCTCTTGTTCTAGCGAAACAAATAATTCAGTGTTATGTCTTGTGGGCCTAGGCATATTGTTGAACCACGAAAATCCTATGGGTGCTTTGGTTCGGGGTCACATAAGATTACTCCGGTATTCTTCGTTTAATTTTCAAGATTCATTTGTTTGGTTTGCAAGTAATAAAATATCAATAATGCTACGGACATCAGGATTCTACACCGAAATCTTACACTGACTTACGTGTCCCGTGATTCACATCAGACACGTTTCACATTCAATTTTTTTTTGTTTCTAGTGAACAGTCGTTCATCAACTATGGACGACCGTTCACTTACATGGACTCCCGCCCATATTATATGGACAGGAGTCCCCATTTAAAGGGCCTCCCATTCATCAGTAAATGGAATAAACAATATAAACAAAAATAATGGATGGTCGTCCCTAAATAAAGGACGGGCGTCCATCGTCCAATTTTTAAATAATAAAATTTTTATAAACAAAATTAATGGACGGGCGCTCATATTAATGGATGCCCGTCCATTAACAATGGTTTTAAAAAATTAAAAAAAATTAAATTGACAAGAAAGACGGAAGCGCTGGAGGAAGAGAACCGAGAAATGAAGGAGAGAATTAAAAAAACTAACTATTGAAATTGAAGGATCTGAAGAGGATAAGAAAGTTTTCGAATCAATTGCTGCTCGAGCGGTTGAATTGGAAATTGAGGTTTCGAGACTCCAAAATGACCTGATCACCGCGATGAGCGAAGGGGATGAGGCGAGTGCTGAGGTGGCAGAGTTGAAGAAGAGTCTGGGAGAGAAGGTAGTGAAATTGGAGGGACTTGAGAAAGAAATTGATGGGTTGAAGAGTGAGAAAGCTGATAGTGAGAAGAAAGTGAGGGAGTTGAAAAGAAAAGTTGGGACTTTGGAAGTGAGGGAATTGGAAGAGAAGAGTAAAAGGGTAAGAGTTAAAGAGGAAATGAGTGAAAAAATTGATGACAAAGAGAGGGAAATTAGTGGGTTTAAGAAGAAAGTTAATGTTTTGGAGTCTGAATTGGATAAGTGGAAGGTTGAGAAGAAGTCAATGGAGGGAAGTTTGAAGGAATCCGAGAGCAAATCCAAGGAAATGGAGGCCAAGATTTCTGAGTTGGAGAAAGAGGTTGATGAAGCGAAGATGGTGATTAGTGGACTCAAGGAGAAGACATTGGATGGTTTTAATGGGAATGTGAGGGATTTTAAACCCTTTATTGATGATGGATGGAAGAAGTCAAACTTGCAATGGCTGGTTTTAATGGGAATGTGAGGGATTTTAAACCCTTTATTGATGATGGATGGAAGAAGTCAAACTTGCAATGGCCGGTTGTGGCTTGCTGTGATTGTTGCTATGCTCGGTGGAGGTGAATGCATATTTGGGTCATGAGTATGCGATAAACTTTCAATTTTGATTAAGGGACGACCGTCCAGAAATGGTGAATGGCTGTCCCTTTATTTTATTTAAAATTTTAGTTTTTTAAGTATGGATGGGCATCCATACGTTAGGGATGCCCGTCCACAAGTTAGGGACGGGCGTCCAATTTTTTTTTATATTTACATTATGGACGAGAGTCCCTTATTTGCGACGCCCGTTGAAAATTCAAGGATGGCCATCCATAACTGATTAATGGGTGTCCCTAATTTTTTTTTTTAATTTTTTAAAACATTAATAATGGACGGGCGTCCTTTAAATGAGGACCCTCGTCCATAGTAAATGGACTCCCGTTCATATAATATGGACAGGAGTCCATAGTAAGTGAACGACTGTTCCATAGTTGATGAACGACCGCTCACTAGAAAAAAATTTGTGAATGTGAAACGTGGCTGGTGTGAGTCATGGGACACGTAAGTCGATGTAAGATTTTGGTGTAGAGTCCCGGTGTCCGTAGCATTATTGATAAAATATTAGGGCAATATTTTGTTGTAAATAGTGTTTGCTGTTGGTAATATAGGGTGTTATTAAAAGATTACCGAGGTAATTTGATTTTTATACCTATTTTGCCCTTAATTAAATACAATTTCGGACACATTGTCCTCAAATGTCTACCAAATAACCATTAGCCTAGACCCCCCACATTTGAGAATTTAAGTAAAACACCCTAGCCATAAAAAAGTTTAAAAATTAACAAAATACCCACAGCCACCCAAGACCACTACTGTTGCCAGCCATGTAAACCCCGCGTTATTATTCCGATGCCCTAAGGTATGAAATTTACCTTTCAAGTAATTTTCTTTTTTTTGAATGGAAGGGTAAAATGGTCAATTTACATGTATTTCGAGATGTGGCCATTGTAAAGTGTAAGGGGTGATGTCATTGAAGAGAAATAAGGGTAGAATGGTCATAAAGTTGATTGATATGGTTAAATGGCGTAAACGGTAACCAAGGGTATAATGGTCTTTTCACACAAATCCATATGTAATAAGTATCCATAAAAGTGCACAAAGGGTAAGTTAGTCATTTACCTAATGGGAGTTCTTAATTGTTAAGTGTTTTAAAGAAGTCAAATGGTATTAAATGAGTGCTAATCTTCATGTTGTGGTGGAAATGACCAAAATGCCCTTGTATGAAAAATTTATGCCAAATGACCCTTATATCTAACTTTTTTGACCAATCACATTAGAGCAACAATGGAATAAATATTTACAAGGTTTAAAGAGAGAGGAGTCGGCCTTGTACACCCCAAACATATCATCTTCTTCTTCATCTCTCAAATCCACCATAAAAGCCACTAATCCAAGCTTTNGACGTTTCTAGAATGGCCACCATATGTGCTCATAGGGTTCTCACTATCAAGATTTGAAACACTTGATACCCTCGTCACGGTTCTACCATTCTAAGGACATATATCAATACATATTGCAATAATAATGATTTACCCGATATAGAATAAAATTGCCTTTTATTGCTTAATGAACATTATTACAAAGAGTCAATTCTATAATAATTGATTGGCTCTAGGGCACCTACTCTAACAATAGCCATATCACGGCCACATCTTTGGCAGTGAAACAGCTAGATTTGACCCTCATGACCGAAAATAGCCTTACCAGCATGTGACCGGCCAGATTCGATCGGTCATGCGGTAGTTCGGTGACTGCCGGCGATGGTGGCAAGTTGTTGACAATGGCTTGGGGTTGGTAAGGGTGACTTTGCTACAAATTAAAGTTTTTTATGGTTGGGGTGTTTTAGCAAAATTTCAAATGTAGGGGTTTAAAAAAATGATAATAAAAATATTATATTAATATTTTAATAGAAGGGCAATTTAGTAATCTATATAACATACTCACCCATTTACCCCCCAACCATACATATCAATATAACATACCCACCAATTTATTCCAACCTAACTAAACACATTTCCCTAAACATTCCTAGTAATCTTCAAGGTAATCTATCTTTCCATTAATATAACATTCCCAATAATACAACATTCCTTGAACCAAAAGCACCCTATGTGTCTTCTATTTTCTTCTATATTTCTTCTTTATTGTTCCTTCCCTAAATGTTCTAATTAAACCTATTGGTTGTTTGTTGACCAAATATTCTGCAACGATTGATATCAAAGTCTAGGTATAAAATTTTCAAAATGCAAGACCAGTGTTTTGGGGTTTATAATTAAGGATGACTTCTAGTTCCACCAAATTTGAGGTGCCAAGATTAAACGGTTTGAATTATGGAAATTGAAGATGTGAGCGGCCCTTATGAAGGATGGATGCACAATTGCTTTGAAAGAAAATGATGAGAAGCTAGAGGAGATGTCTGATGAAAAATTCAAGCAGAAAGACGAGTTGGCCATGGTAGATATTTATCTTGCTCTAGATGAGGTAGTTTTATTCAACGTATCTGAAGAAACTACAGCTAAAGGCTTATGGGATAAATTGCAAACAATATATGAGGAGAAATCTACATCAAATAGAATCTTTCTATGAAATCAACGATACAACATGAAGATGAAGGAGGGTCCTTTTTACAACAACACCTGAATGACTTTAACACCCTGATTAGCAAATTAGTAGTTATTGAGGTGAAGATTGATGAAAAAGAAAAAAACTATTTTTTTGCTTTGTTCTATGCCTAATTCATGGGATACCTTAGTCATGAACATCAATAAAGATACAGATTTCACTTATGAATTTGTAGAATCTTTGTTACTCACTGAAGAGTATCGTAGGAAACCGAAAGGCGATTTGTCAGGTGATGTAATAGTGGCATGAGGTAGAAAAGAGCGGATGGAAGTATATATCAATCTAGATCGAAGACCAAAGGCAAAAACAGAAGGAAGTGTTGGAATAATGAAAGCCACAGTTTTAGTGTCATGGCATTACTGAATTCCAGTGAGATAACTTCTCCCGTACCCGGAGTGATGTCCTTTGTCAATCCACCATAGTCTGATACACTCTTTGAGCACAATCACCACGGTATTGAAGCTCTGAATAGACTCGTTGGCTAGTGTCAAACTCAACCAATGGTGCACAAGGCACTCGTGATCTCAAGTCTAAGGATCACATGACCCACCTTCGTTAGAGATTTTTCCATAGACACGGGTTACCATTCATATGGAATCCTCTGGTGGGTCGTCAGTGAACTTGCTCTTAACGCTACAGCACCCATGTGTTGCACCAGGTTGTCAACAACAACCTTGACAAGTGAGATAGTCACTCACTTTCGAAGGGTCGTTCAACACTATGATAGCCTTACCGTATTATATGTGCCCTTACCAGAATAATACTGGGGCTACAGACTTTTTGTGTATAATATTATTTAAATTATTTATGTAGTATGTGGGGTGAAGGAATGAAGTGAATTGATCATTCTTCCAATAAAACCCAATACTCCCTTAATTATCTCTTGTGGAACAAGATCTTTGTGAAACTAACTGTTACATAAGGGAGTTCTTTTCCTAATAGGATAATTAACTCCTAATAGGATGTGAATTCTTGTTTCTTAGAATTCTTTTCTACTTAGGATTAGGTTGAATTATTAGAATACTATAAATAAATGATGTATGGGGTCTTTTGTAAGTATTTCGTCAAGAAATTGTGAGTAGTTCCTAGGTAGAGAAAGTAAGAGATCCCTGATATTGTATTTGTCTCTTGTTCTAGTGAAACAAATAATTCTGTGTTACGTCTCGTGGGCGTAGGCATATTGTTGAACCACGAAAATCCTATGGGTGCGTTTGGTTCGGGGTCATATAAGATTACTCCGGCATTCTTCGTTTAATTTTCAAGATTCTTTTGTTTGGTTTACAAGTAATAAAATATTAGGATAATCTTTTGTTGCAAATAGTGTTTGCTGTTAGTAATATATGGAGTAATCAGATTACCTTGCCAGGGAGTGTTATTAAAAGATTATCAAGGTAATTTGATTTTTATACCTATTTTGCCCTTAATTAAATACCATTTCGGACACATTGCCCTCAAATGTCTACCAAATAACCATTACCTAGACCCCCCACATTTGAGAATTTAAGTAAAACACCCTAGCCACAAATTTTTTTAAAAATTAACAAAATACTCACAGCCATCCAAGACCACTGTTGTGGCCAGCCACCACTGCCGGCCCCCAGCGGCAGTCGCCATATTGACGCACGACAGACATGATCTGGCTAGTCATGCGCCAATTTGGCTATTTCCGACCAGATCGAAACCTGGAAACGGCCAGATCGACGTGGATCTTACAGGAAATGACCAGAATAGACCTAGCACCTTTGATATGGCTAGAAATAGCTGTTAGTAAATGATTCATATACGCAGCGGAAACAAAAAAAATATAATACAAGGATCGTTTACATGAGCCAAGATCAAGGGTATAATTTTACAATTTATATTAAAGTAAAATCTGCAGAAAAATTAATCAAGAGTTTAGAATAACATACGCACGTTTGGAGGCTCCTCCAAAATAGTCTTTCTACGTATTTGCTATCGATCCAAGCGTAGGATTGAACTTATGAAGTCCACACGAAGACAATCACAAAGAACTAAGGAGGGATTTGCTAGATCCTCCTTAGCTTTAAGATTAAAGAAGAAAAGGAAGAATTGATTTCAAGCAAAAACCAAGTCTGCCGTGGGAGAGGGAATATGGGGCTGCTGTGTTTCTCTTTTACAAAGGAAAAAGTGAATAATGAAAAATCACACACTTTTACAATTAAAGTTTTTCTTTTATATTAAAACTTTAATTGCCCTATTCCTATATGGAATAAAGGCTACAACCTCAACAAATTTAATTGCACTGTGAAACTACCAAAATACCCTTTCGCCTTAAAAAGATGA